CCTGAGCAGGTGCTACTCCCTAAAGTGGGAAACTGTGAGATGCTGCCCTGTGCACTGCTAGCCTCCCACGAGTGCTTGGGAGCCTTAAGGAAAGCTGGTGCCTCAGTCGAGCACCAGCTTTTCCCGTCTGCTGTCTCTGCTGTCACAGTGTGAACAGTATTTAGATCTCCAACTTCAGCAAAGCCATGTGCCGACCCTGGAGGCAGTGCCAAGCTGTCCCTAGCTTCAGTCTATCCTTGGGAAAGAACATGGATGTACACTGTTCTTTCCCCAGCACGGTGCTCTTTGCCTAAATTACTCAAGGCCCAGTTTTCTTCTTTCTAGAAGGTCCTGTACCAGCTCAGACACAACCTCAGAGTCCCAGCACTGTCTTCAGGCTCAGTTGCCCATCCCCAGTGATCAGCCTCAGGTCTACCATCCCTGCAAGGAGACCCTGTGACCCTCCTTGTCTCCAGCACTCTGGACTCCCCAGGACTCTGACTCTGGACTCTATTCCAGTGTAAATAAGTAAAAACATGGTGTCTTCTACTTCTGAACCAGGAGTAAGCCAAATTTTCCTGAAAAGGGCTAGATAATAAACATTTTAAACTTTGTCAGTCATATTTTCAATTTTGTCAGTCTTGTTGCCATCGATTCTATTGTAGCATGAAAAATAAAATGTAAATGAATGGAAACGGCTGAGTCACAAGGAAACCTCATTTATAAGAACAGGTGGCTGACCAGAAATGAGCCGAGTGGCTGTTGGTGAGCCCTTGAACAAAACTACTGTCAAAGCTTGATTCAAGAATCCAGCTACACTGAGTAACTTAGATTTTTTTGAAGTCTGCCCTGCTGCTGCTGTGGTGTGTAATTCCCCCCCCCCCAAAAAAAAGGGTTTCTCAGGTCAAGCCAGTAACTATTGAGCCACATGCTCAGAACAGCAAGAGGTTGCTTTCAAAGCTGATTCCTAGAAAGCCACCTGCAGCCCACAATCCTGACAGTGTGACCCAAAGTCAGTAGCTGATAGTGAAAGGCAGAATGCTAACATTAGAGAGGAGGAAAAAAATCCTGAGTATGCCTCAGGTTCTGGGTTCCAAGGACCAGGACAGGCCTCCAGAGAATAAGGGAGTGAGCACATCAGTGCCAAAAGTTAACAAGACAAGTTAGCAGACTCTGCTCACGGTGTCATTTTGCCCTACATTAAGAACTATCTAATGGTTGCTTTAGACATCCAATGTTGCTTGGTGTGTCCCCACCTGACCTGAAAACCTCTGCAAAAATGACTTTGGGTCAAATAAGTATCAGAGGCCCATCATGGCAGGGATGAACCTTTTGTAACAGAGGGAGAAGTGATACATGTTGGAACAAATTAGAGTTAAGTACTGCTGCTCTTTGAGTCCTAAGGCCCAAAGGACATTTCAGTGGAGAGTAAAGTTCCACCTTCTGGGGTCCCAAGTGAGGACAGATGTTTGCTTTTGATCAAGGAGCCCTTAAGTACATGGCTAATACCTTCAGCCCCAAGGAAATCTGGAGAAATGTACATGTTTTCCCACCCCCCCACTTTCTATAGATGAATGGATTCTCCAGCCTGTCAGCTAATAGGAACCTGAGTAGACAGAATGATGTAAGGAATTTTAAGGACAAGCCAAACCAAGCACAGAGAAGTGCAGTCATAGCTCAGCAGTACAGCATTCACCTAGCATGCCTCAGGCTCTGGGTTCAATTGCAGCATCAAAAAAAAAATTTTTAAATGATGAAGAACTCCTCCATCCTACACTCTGACAACAGTAGCAACAACCCAAGAGCCCTGACCAGTGAATTCCAGATCTGGGTTTCAGGGGGCCCAGGGGAACATAGTGGCCCTCCCTACCCAAGACCTCACTGCTCCGTGGGTCTCTGCCACCCCTACCTGGTTCTCCTTAATCCTCTGGAAATATAGTTTATCAGTCTCAAGAGAATAGTAAGTAGTCAATGTTGGAGGGAAAAAGATTCTCAGGGAAACATGTTGTGTTCCATTAATTATTGTAACAAATGGATTTGTAAGGGGTCAGGAACCTGAATATAAAAAATTAGACATTGCTACATTCTTCCAACGTTTACCAAAGGCTTTTCTAATTTGGAGCATAGAGGTCTAGTTACCAAATGACTTTAAATGACATAATTCCTCCACTAACCATGAGTGGTGGTGTGGAGCCCTTGGCCTGCTCTTTGGCTCTTCCCTGAGTTCCCTGGCCACCGCCCGCCTAGGGGGCCGTGACTGCTATTAGAGGCAGGGCATTCCTCTCTGACAGAGTCCAGGGAGCACTAGGTGAAGGGAAAAGGCTCCTCCCATGCCTCCTGACATCCTCAGCTCTCTATTTGGAAGAAGCCCCACCTCCAGGTGCCCTGGCTGAAAGATGCGCCCAGCTGCTTCTCCGCCAGCATCTGCCATGTTCCAGGAGGGAGAATCCCTACTCCCTAGCCCCGCACAACATATCATATGTTCTGATCATATAACTTGAGGGTCAGAAGGAAATCCAGCACCCCCCCCCCTTACGTCAGTTGTGCAGGCCCCTAGAACTAAACCTAGAGTATTTGGGCTAGAGCCATTCCAAGCATGGACAGTGGGCGGTCCAAGAAATGGCCCAATCGCTAGAGAAGGTTACGCGGAGGTTTTGGTGCCACCTAGCGGCTGCTGTTCCCAGGAAGGTCAGTTACCCGAGGCCCTGTCAGGTCAAGAACAGGTCGGTTTGAACAGCGGAAAGACTTTCTCTTCCGAGGATTATTCTAAGTTTCATTTTCTATTTTGATTTCGTACAAAGTATTGAGACAAATTAAGTTACAATGAAATAAATCAATGAAAACAAATAGAAAGGGAAAGGGAAAGGAGTCTACAAAAACATCTAGCAGTGTAAAGTAAAATACAGCTGCTACAGTCTAAGGTCCAGAAATCCAGATCAAAGGGAAAGGTGAGTGGCTTTCTAGGCCTCATATATGAGTGAAGAAACTAGGGCTGATTTAAGTTGACTCAGTGCAGTCCCTCAAAAAAAAAAAAAAAAAAAACAAGTAGTTTTTAGAGCAGATTTCTAAAACCTCCCTCACCACAATTTCACCAGAGGTTTTCTCCATAAGTTATTACTTTGGCCAAAATTAGTGGCTGTCTAACTTGAAGGGTGTAATTGACCACACCTATAGGAGAGAGACCCCCCCAATCCACACACCTCTTCCAACCTCACTGTGGGGACAGGGGACAGGAAATCACCCAGGGTACTGGCTTTCTCTAGTGCTCTTGAAGCTGCTGTGGAGTTAGGAAAGCAGGCTGCAGTTCTAAGATTGAATCATAGTGGGACCCCCTGTCCTTGCCCGAGTGCATGGAGGGCTCTCATCTGCCCAGGCAGCCATGTCTGCAGTTGCAAAGCCAGTTCCTATTTTCTCTTTCCCCAGGACGAAGGCTTCAGGCACTGGGAAGTCACTGGAAATCCCCTTGCCACACTCTCCACCGAGATGCCTCAAATTCAATAGAAACTTGTGTCCCCACACTCCTTCCTTCAGCAATGTGGGTGGGTTTTCTTATTTTGTTTATTTATTTCATTCTCTCAACATTCAACAAGTAGTTATTGGGTCCCACCTTGTCTTGCACAGAGAGGGAGGTGCCCAGGACACAGGGTTGAATCTTCTAGGTCCTTGGAGGAAAGGAGGAGGATACTCTGATTATCTTTACTATTTACCATATTCCCATAGATTTTGTAATCATCTTCCTGATAAATTTAATATAATTAACCTCTGTTTAAGTCACAACTAGAGTCTAGGATTTCAGTATCAAAATGACCTGGCTCCCAAATCCATGTCATTCATGTGTGGACAGAGGCAAGTTCACTGACTTCTGAGGGTCATGTTAAGACATCACTTACAGAATATGTGTCAGAGACCCTAGACCACTTGCATGCAGAAGTCCTTCTAAAGAATGACCAGAGCTTCTAAGCACAGGCTCCACACACTGATGAGGTGGGCCGCTTTTCTGTTGCCCTTCTCCCCCCACCCCCTACAGAATCTTCCTGACAGGAAATAGCAGCTGTGGTGATCGTCTTACCATCCATTACTCCCTTATCCCACTTTCAATCCACCACCAGCAAAGCCAGAGCCTGGGGCATGTTACTATTCTATACAGTTCTTTCTCTAAATCTTCAGCTCAGAACATCCCTTCTCTAACTATGTCCCTCTGAATTACTACCCTCCCAATCCCTCAAGCCTGCAGAAGATGCCTGGCCTGCCTGTCCCATCAGGGGCCCAAAGCACATTGCTACCCTGTAGCAACCTGGCACTTTTGCCCCTCTGGCCCTCTGTGAGCTTCTTCTGCTCCAAGCCCTCCTGTTAGTTGCTCTGTTTCATCCCATAACTTCCAGGCAACAGTAGGCTAAGCCATTCCCATTCACATCCTTTGCTGTTCAGTCTCTTACAGGTTTTTATGATTCAAACCTGTTCTGACTTCCCAAATGGCCTCAAGTCACCTGATAATGCTCTACTCTGAAGCTAACCCATCCCTGCTCAACCAAGGCCCAAATTGTCCATTCCCTCATCAAGTTCCCTCCTTATTGCACAAGACACAAAAAAGTCAAAGAACAAGCATAATGGGTGGAACAGGTCTACAACCAGGGCCCTTGTGCTTGGCAGTGGCTAGAAGATTGAAAATCAGCCTGGCAGAGCAAAGGGAACTGAGTTGGGCAGCAGGAGATTCTGCATCCTATTTCTCTTCCAAGAGCTATTTTCTATTTTGTGCAAAGTGGGCTTGTGCCCAGTACCAGCTAGCACATGCCTACCATGACCTCTGGCCTTGGCCATAAATTTCAGCAGCTGAC